CATTATAACTTGGTAAAGATCCTGTCCTCAAAAACAGTCATATTCTGAGGTTCTGGGGATGAGGACTCTCACATATCTTTTAAGGGAACGCAATTCAAACTATAACAAGAGATAATGGTCAGAGGAAAACAGAGCCACAGAATGCTAGAATTTTTTAACAAGCTAATAAATCCTTGCTAGAGGATCAACAAGGTTGACAAAGGAGTAAGCCTACTTGTAAACAGAGCATTATACCAGGCACCAGGCACGGCTATGAAGAAATCAAAGGCATATGTGTGCTCTTCTCTTGAGAAATGTTCAGTGCCGTTGGGGAGTGTCCGTAAGGCCACGAAGCAGTAAACAACGTTCCCTGCACACACTCAGAAATGCAAATATGCCAGTTCATTCTCTTTTAATTAGACCTAATTGAGCATCCAATCAGACAAACCAGCATTCTGTCAGTGTCCACACCTGGTGGGTTTTCTGAGGACTTCACAGCCCCTCCAGGAATCTCTCCGCTATTACATTCCCTCCCTTACACTCCAAGGCTGGTTGGAACCACAGCCACTTTGAGGCACCGAGAAGCTCCAGTTTGAACCACTGGGGGGCCTCAGATAATTCGGTGCCGTGGAGATTCTCTGTCCTGGCACCCCACCTAGTGGTGAGAGACATATCTGCAAGGCGGCTGTTTCAGAATTCCAGCTGGGAGACAGCCCACACGCCCTGTCTACTCTCAAACCAAAGTTTTTCTAGAAGGAGAGCGTTCTGAGAGGGAGTTTCATAAGAAGAGAAGAATACAGATTTAGGGAAAAGATAGGGGCAATTTTTCATTAGAGACAATAGCAGAGGCATAAGTACAGGTATAGAAATGAACTCTATACCAAGGATAACACACATCGGCACTTACTAAGGACAGAACAGTCCAAGTTAAGGAAAAAACAGGCTAATGGACAGTGATCATCAGTGGCCAGGAGGGGTCGATTGGCTCTACACAAGGAAACTGAGGCTCAAGACAGCTAAGTCATGTCCCCCAAGGCCACAGCTGCTGAGTAGAAGAGTTGGGATTTGAACCAGGTAGGACTGAAGGCCAGGCTCCTTCCTGAGCAAGATAGTGGCATGACCATCTTGGGAAAAGACAGGACAGAGAAAGCCGCTAGGAGGACCTTACAGCAACCCAAATTTGGTTTGAGACGGTGGCTTCGGAAACAAAAAAGGAAGGGGTGGATCACAGTGACTACTGTAGGGAAAACGTGATGACATACTAGATGCCAGGGCCAAGAGGAGAAAGGAAATGAAAAGGACAAGTCTCTAAACTGCAGCAACCAGAAGGGAAAAGGAGAACGGTGGTGGTTAAGGGGAGGCTCAGGAGAAAAGACGGAGTCAGTGGGGGGCGGGGGGGGGGAGCTAGAGAAGATGTGACTTGGTTTCCAGATACATCAAATTCCCCTGGTGACGTTTTTTTTGAAATGGGCCCAGAGCCCCTGCGAGAGTTTTAGAAATTGCTGATGCCATCACTAGGATGCTCTCACTGCTTCACAGCTGTGATCAATGCAGGCTGATTGCTTCTGCTGCAACGGAAGATGCACAATATTTCAGCAACTTCTAAAACATAGGCTGTTGAGCTGAGCGTGTCATGAGAGTGGAAGAGGGAGCCACTTGCTCTAAGACACTTCTCACAATGGCCCTGGAGGGCTCAAAAAAGGGTAGTTCCTGGCCTGTGGGGGAACTTGGCCTCGTGAGGGAGTGCCATTGGGGAGCAAGCGGTTCTAGTAAAACAGAAGAGTAACTAAGTGTGTAGTGGGGTGACCAGTGGCTGTTTTCCATGGAAGTGTTGACTGAGTTGTAATCACTAGTAAAGTGTTGTTTGGAGTGTATTACTCCCTTTGAGTGTGCTGCCCCAAATCCTTGAAAATTTGACAAAACCAAGAATTTAAAATCTGATAGACAGGGAAAGGACCTCAAGAGGGCCCCCTAGGGCAGTCAACGTGCATTTCCGCCCTTCAATATCCAGTCAGTAGTCTGGGTCCAGCAGTTCTTCCACGTCTAAAAGAGGACAGGAACTGAGCTGCTTCCCTTCTTTAAACAGCTTCCTTAGATAGAATCTGCTTATCTCAAGCCTGAGTATGTATAGCTACCAATGAATCCAGCTGTTCCTAGCAGTTGAAACACTTTGGAGCAAAGAAAAGACAAATGCACCAGAGACTTCTTTCAATGACTTCCCCGAGTTACTGGGGGAGGACCACAGACCCAACAGGAACTGACTTTTTCTCCCTCTGCATCCCTCCCACCTTTCCTCCCCTAAAGCTCCATTCCCTGCATCTCCCGGCATCTGTGCACATCCTCATAGGAACTGAGGATGCCGGCTCTCTCTCCATCTCCATCCCTTCATCCCCTACACCTCTCTGCACCAGCTTTATATAAAGGCACTTCAGCTCCCTCTCCGTCTACATCCCTGCCACCTCTCTATGACTCTCTCTGATCCATCTTAAATCAAGTAACTTTGGCTCTCTCTCCTTCCCAGTACCCAACCCAACATAGAATCGCCCCTCTCTCTCCACCCCCACCCCCACCCCCATCTCTACACTTCTCTACCCCGCCTGCAGGAATTAACCTCTGCCCCCATCCCCGTGGACTTCACCTTCGTATCGCTGGTCGAGCCCCACATGAAGGTACCTCTCCTCCCCCCTTCTCTCCCTCCTCCCCCAACTCCCATGGAGTGCTCTGGTTCATTCTCACATAAACCATGTCTGTGCTCTGTGTGTCAAAATCCCACCCCCAGTCCCCTACAACTCCCCGGTCCAGCCCAACATGAACTGACCTCCGTGCCCTTTCCCTCCCCCTCATCCCTGATCCCACTAGGGCTCTCTGCTGGGGCTGAACATGAACTCACACCTGCTCCCTCCCTCTCCCCAGCACCCCCAAGCCCCTACAGCTCTGGCTCATCTGCATGTGAACGAACCTTTGCTTCCTTTTCCTCCCCCTCACCCCAATCACTCTTTCCTCCCTCTACTTCTCAGTCCCATCTTACTCCCCAATATGTTGTTGGTCCATCCCCAATTGAACTGATCTCTACTACCTGCCCCACCCCACCCCACCCTACTCCCCCTACATCTCTCTGGCATACCCACGAGGGCTAACCCCTGTCCCTCTCTTTCCTTACCTATTTCCCCTCCACCCCCACCTCTGTAGACCATCCTCCTTAGCTAACTTACCCTGCCATTCCCTCCGTACCCAACCACTCCCCCTACATCCCCCTGACCTAGCCCCACGGAAACTAACCTCTTTTACTTCTCTGTCCTCCCATCTCCCCTACATCTCTTGGCTTAGCCCCAGATGAGCTGATGTCTGCTCCCCTCTCTCCCCATCACCCTTTACTCCTCTACAACCCCCTGCATCATCTGCACCTGCACTGACCTCTCCTACCATCCCCCCCGCCACTCCCCACCCTGTGACCCACCGATTCTGATTCTCTGTCCCCATCCCATCCAGGAGCAATGGCCAACGTGTCTTAGAATGGCTGCTGGGCACTTATACGCCAATACCTTATGCTTGTTTTTATCCTCAGGGATAACATGAGCACTCTCCCTCCCCCTAGGAGATTCCTGACTTTATTTCATTTGTGAAAACATTAAGCAGGAGATTAGAATGTTTCCAGGGTGACAGTCAACAATAAAAGAGGAAGTAGGGCCCAGTCTTTTCACTGCTTTCCAATATTGTATGTCTTTTATCAGATCATATGCCTCTTATTAGGAAACAGCAATATGAAAAAGGTCAAATCCTCCAAGGAAATGCTGTCAACTCCACTTGGGGACAGTTATCATAAAAGCATCATGGACTCACCTTTAACAGCAAAGCTTATGTGACAACCATACCAAAGGAATGAGAGTGAGAACAAACACTTCTGAAATGTCTCCTTCTTGGACACCATGAAGCCAGGTCCTTTATGAATGTTTTCATTGAGCCCCAGAAATTCTGAGGGCAGAACAACTGCTGTCCCCAGTGCAGACAAGGAGCCCGAGGCCCCCGCAGAGGCAGCTTGCCCAAAATTATTCAGCCAGAAAGTGGCAGAGCCCATGTGAGAACCCAAGTCTGAGGCAACTCTGGGCTCCTCCAACACATGCTTCTCAAGGAGCAGACCCTCTGCAGGAGGCTGGTCTGGGGGGCCCCAAATCCTCCAGGATGACAGTGTCCAGGGGCGGGGCTCAGGGTCATGTCTCTTTAACATGCTCCCCACCTAGGGTTACCAGGTGAAATGTAATATACACAGATAAAGTGGAATTTCAGATGAACGATGACTAAAGAGACAAAAGCATAGTTTAAATGGGATATACTTATACTAGAAAAAAGTTGTCGATCTGAAAATCAAATTGACCTAGGTATTCTCTTTTTATTAGCTAAATCAGGCAACCCTATCCTGGGACTAGGATGCCCCCAGCAGTCTGAAACCCCTTCTCTCCCCACCCCACGTGGGTGAATGAGCATTCCATCCTAATTGTCTTCCATCCCCCTGCCCCTTCTTGCTCCCCACCCTCAGCCTGGGGCACACCTTAATGCCATCTGCCAGGGCTTCTCTTATAGGTCATTCCCTGTAGGGCCAGGAGGGAGCTGAACAAGGTCACTCAGCCCAACCCAACGCCACAATGCTGAGACACCATCCAGCAAGGAAACTGGCTAGAGGTTGGCTGAATTCAACCTACTGTCATAATAATCTGGCTTTCCCCGAGCTGCCCAAGCATAAATTACCAATAACTTTTTTTTTATTCTTATACTTTGCCAAAACTATTTTTAGGGCATCATTTAGGCTTACATGAAATTAAATTCTACTAGTTTTACACACCAACAGGTTCCCAAGGCAAGAACCAATTCATGCCAGTAGCAAAGGGTTATTTCGTTTTCTGCCCACAGGCTGCAAAGGAGCTGGGAGTAAGGACTTTGGGATCTACCAGACTGCCTTCGACACAATGGTGTAGAAGAGTAACTCATAGTCAAGGCTAAAGAACTCGTCCTTGGAGAACAAAAGCTCAAAATAAGAAAGGCTTTATTCGTAAGACAAAACGAATAGCACAAGCACACTTCCAAATGCAAGTGAGAGAGTTCACTGGATTTTTGTCAAAGAGGAAGCTGCGCTCAGGCGTCAGTTAAAACCGGGACCATCGAAAAGATGCCAGCTGCTTGTGGTGACACCGGTACAACATGTGCTTGTCTAAGAAGTCCTTGTGTGGTGGCATAAATGTGGGAATGTGTGACAAGGGTGGAGAGGTACAAGGCAGAACGGCAGGTGGGCAAAAGCTTTCTCCACGCAAATGTGCTCTGGCTCTGCTTCGGGCAATGGAAGCAACCAGCGGGCCACCTCACAAAGGACTTGACTGGCAAAGAACACTTTCCAAAATCTAAAATAGGTCTGAGGTTGTCACCAAGGTTGCACGGGGAGGTCAGTGGGGAAAAAAACAATTTTTAGTCTACAAAACCAGGTTTCACACAATGGCAGGCACTAAATCTAGTTATATGTGCTTGCAGTAGAAAAGGAGAGAATGATTTTAATAAAGGCTGGTCTTTTTCATGATGCGCAGGAACTCTTGTTCATTGACTTCTCCATCTCCATCTCGATCAGCTTCGTCAATCATTTCCTGTGTGACAATAAGGATTCAGGTTCGATTAATTCAAAATGAAACTACACTGTGACTAAGCAACAGGCTCTTATAATGTTACATGAATAGACAATTGTAGTCCATCCCATGCAAACGTGCTGCTTTTGATAATAGCTTGGTTCCTGAACGTGATCTGAAATCCAAGTCATCCTCTGTGACACATATCACCTAGAACAGAGCCCAAAGGTCACCTTCACTAGGGTGATTCCTAAAACCTAAACTTGTCAGTAAAACTGCCCATGTGTGCATTTTTCTGGGAGCAGGGCCCATAGGTGTGTCCCACTATCAAAAGAGAAATTAAGTGCTCAGCATGGGGACAAGAAAATACTAGTTCTCCTCCAAGGTGGCACTCGCATCAGAGAAAGCGTAACTCAGGAAAGTCACCCAGGGCTCCAAGCAGGAATTCTGCGTTCCAGTCTGACATACTACGAACCTGCAGCTCCTCGTCCGTGAGGTTCTCGCCCAACTCCTTGGCTACACGTTTCAGATTTTTGAAGGATATCGTCCCAGTTTCATCATCATCGAAGAGCTTGAAAGCTTTCAGAATTTCTTCTTTGGTATCTTTCTCAGACTTCACAAGTAGAACAGAAAACATATGAGTAGGGAAACACCACAGTTACTCGTGTCCTGTAGTCACCCCCCACCCGCCTGGCCTCTCTGCCCTGCCTCTACATTATCTCATGGTCTAGGATGGCCTTCATGCCATAGGTCCTAGGTCACAGGAGCTCAAACATCATCCAGGGTAGAAAAGGAGGACAAACTCAATGACAGTATTATAGACTTAGAGGCTAACAACGAAATATAAAGGGCTGCATTTAAAACATTCTTTCTGTACAAACCAAAGAGAAACTGGATTTGTTTTTAAACTATAGAAGAAGGCGGAGTTAACATTAGGGAGAATATACTCCTTAACCTGGTGGAAAGGGGATCCTCTTGGTGGAGGGGGCAGCAAGGAAAGAGAGGGCTGTTTTACTTGTTATGAGATCATACAGAGTTACTGGGAACCCAAATCCTCTAACAGAGGAAGAAAGGAAAATTTCTTTTCTTTTCTTTTCTTTTTTTAAGCTGAGCCATCCTGCCACCTTTTGGCAGCTCAGCGGCAGCTCAGCTCAGGCCAGACATCAAACCACTGTTGCTCAGAGCTCTCACTCTTGAGCGAGCTCTTAACCAACTGAGCCACTCGGCCGGCCCCTAGGAAAATTTCTAAAAGCTGAAACTCCCAATATTCCTGAAAGGTAGCTAAAGGTAGAGAGAACCCCTAATAAGAGCAATTCGGGAACAGCCTTGAATGTGGGACAGCTTTACTGGGTGGTTACAGAATGTTAAGCTTCCTGATCTCTTAAGTTAGCCCGTGAAGAAAAATATAGATACAATTAGATGGTTTCAAAGCAACAGGATTATTAGAGTAGGAACAGATCTGTGCCCTGGGAAATACAGATGGAGTTACTACTACTGATGGAGCTCCTGCTCAGTGTCTCAGTAGGCCAGTGGAGCACAGGGGAGCCACACTAAGGAAGAGCCCGGGGGCGGGGGGGCGAAGAAAGAGCAATGGCCCAATGGGGACATACTTCCTGGGTAGGATGACACTCAGGGCAGTGAGGTGGGCAAGTGGGGTGACATCTTATAGTCTCTCTTGACCCTTTGGACCCTTTAAAAGAGGGACACCAGAGAGATTAGAGAATGGGTAAATTTAACCTTGGAAGTGCTGCTGAAAGACCAACTCCCCAGTGGAGTGACAGGCCCTCAGGCTAAGGCTGCCCAGAATAACAAACGGGAGAGAAAGGATTTCAAACTTTACAATATAGGAAGTTTTTCTTACCAAAATGCGAGACACTGTAATACTGTTGGTGTTTATAGGTTTTACTGCTTGTGGTTATCACATTGACAAATCAGTTGGGGAAAGATAATATAGCAAAAACGTGACAGCAGTATATGTTCACTACTTTACAGAGGGTAAAATTACTTTTCCTGTGACTTTGTGGCCTTGAAGAAAGTCAAGTAGAACCTAAGCATCCGAATTCTCAGTCACAAATACTATCTTTTATCAGCTGAACTCTCCAGTGTATATTAACTTTTCTTCAAGGAAGAGATTTTTATATCTAGATTCAAATGTGTCCATTATGGGTGGAAAACATGCTGATCATCTTAGCGAACTTACCATTTTCTGAGTCATCACAGTCAAAAACTTACTGAAGTTCATTTTTCCTGTCCCTTCCTTATCAATTTCACTTATCATTTTCTTGATCTCTTCTTTCTTGGGTTCAAAGCCCAGTGCCCTCATTGCCACCTACAACGGAAACAGGATCATCTCAATATGCTCATCTAAACCTCGCAGGAGCAAAAATGCACGTTGAGAGCATTAGGCCAGCATCTGGCACAATCACGTTAAAATGACTGGGAAACACCAGAGCATTAAGCAAACTGATATTTGCACTCATTTTATTTAATAATACTTGGGGTAAGTAAAGACAGGAAAATAGAGCACAGCACATTCTTCCCTTGTTACTTTTTTCAGGGAGGAGAGGGCAAAAGGGGTAGAGCAGCGACAAGGAAAGAAAACAAAGGGGCAGAGGGAAGGCCAGGCAGCAGGCAGGAATGTACAGGGCTTGCCTTAAGTTCCTTAACATCTATAGTCCCAGTTCCATCAGCATCGAAGAGATCAAAAGCTTCCCGGATTTCCTGGGTCTGCTCTTCAGTAAGCTCTGGCTTAGGACTCATCCTTTTTCGCTGGGTAGTTGATGCCATGTTTGCCTTCTTAAAGCTAGAGGCCTTTAGACATTTTACAAACACATAAGCACAACATTATGTACTACCGTCCATATTTTTGCATACACTAGAGACAACCATATCTGTTTTAAAAATACTTTATACTAACCAATCCCACAGCTTTGCTTAACTGGAGAGATAATAGGGTTGACTGGGAAGAACAAATAATCTTTCCATGTACTTCTATCCCTTTCTTCTTCTTTACTATTGCTTCTAGAAGCAAGGACATCCCTTATTGACGATCATCCCGAAAGAGAACTCGCTAGCCAAGGAGTGGAGTATGGATAACTGTACAGACAATAAACTCTCCCAGAATTTGGGGATCCTAATTCTATATAGAAATGTCCTTACAACGCCCACTCGCGGTACTCCGCTTCCCTCTAAGTACGCTTTCTGGCTACTTCTAGTTTTGGCCAAATATTATTTGTTTGGCGTATATTTGTTATTAAGTAAGTTGTTAAGACGTATTTTCTGTCAATATCGAATAATAACACTCAATCCACTTGGCATATCTGTGCCTTCCCAATAAAGCTCAAAGCGTCTCCCAAATGGCCCTATACTTAAATTTTAAAATGCACGTTAACAATCAAACGTCATAAACACCC